TCATTTAATTAGTTTCTGATATGGGGTTGGGTTCGAGTCCAAAGGTGTTAACTTGACTTATTTTCTTGTTACTTCCAAAAAATACTAAGCTTATACTCAAGTTTTTATTTTATACTCGAAATTTATTTTTGATATTAAAAAACGAAAAAACAAGTCAAAATTTCCACTGAAGTCCTATAATTCTAAAAATTTTCGCCTGCGGCGCAGAAAATAGAAGAAAACTTTCTATTTGAAAATAATTAGAAATTTCTATCAGAAAATAGAAGAAAACTTTGATTTTCATTATGGATTTTTAAATTTATTTTTTTTTAATATTTTAAGCTTGAAAAAGTATTAAAAATTTTAATTAAGTCATGAATTTTGCAAAATTTTCGCCTCCGGCGGTGAAAAAAAAAAGAAATTCAACTGTTGGCCTTTGAAATTTCTCAAAATTTTCGCCTCCGGCGGTAAAAAAAAAAGAAATCTGGCTTAAGGATCATCCAAAATTATCCAAATTTTCGCCTGCGGCGCAGAAAATAGAAGAAAACTGGCTCCTTGGCTGAAATTCTCAAAATTTTCGCCTGCGGCGCAGAGAGATTTGCAAGGATATCAGAACAAGCCAAGCCTGTGCTCTTACATCCTAAAACTGTATTTTTACATCCCAGCACTGTATTTTTCTATTTGCCTTAGTTAATCCCCCTCCGAATCCCTCAACTTAAATAATTCACTCAAATCTCCGATATCTTCGAATCCTCTTATATAACCAGTGCTATGTATGGCACCGCGAGCTGGCACCGGAGCCCGACTCCGGCGGAGCCGAAGCCGGAGCCAAGATTTTAAAAGCTCGGGGCCGGAGCCAATTAATGGCCAATACCCAGCACTGTATTTTCACTTGCAGCCCTGAATAATAAAATTTTCGTTGGCTGATCTGTAGAATATTTCATTGAAGCATAATAATGGGATAAAATATGAATTGAATATTCTGTATGGCAAATTCAGGCATAAACCGGTTTCGGTTAACCAAAAACCGGGGTCCAATCGAAAACCGAAACCGAAAACCGGGGGTCGTAAACCGGCCAAAACCGAAAACCGAGGGTACCGGTTTTTAACCGGTCGCCAACAACCCTAGATTTTACCTTTCATTTTTGGCCAATTTAAAAAGCATTTTGAAATCCTAAATCTTTTCCAGTTTGATTATAAAAATTTTAAATTCTATGAAAATATTTGGGTACTATGCGTACCTAAATAACGCCAACCCTGATGAGTATGATCTGAACGATTAATAAAGTCAAGAGATTTGGAGGATATCAGTGATTTGGAGGATATATGGGATATCGGGTATACGGAGGCCATATGTAGTTCATGCAGAATTAAGGGGCATATTGGGAATCTAGTGTGAAAAAAGTAGAAACTAGAAGCAAATTTTCTTATGAGTATTCAAAAATATGTTGTACGAAATCGTAAACAATATTTTTCCTTATCGAACACAAATAAATAATTGTGAAACAATAAAATAAAAACTTCTGGATCCACTAGGATCACTTACGGAGATAACTTATATAAAAAATGAAATAGCTGCATTCGCTTAATCAAATAAACAATTTGCAATTCTTTTAAATGTTTAATTATAATTGATATGGGCGTCATAACCAGAATTTCAAGAAAAAAATATGTAAATAATTGAAACCACTAAAAAATAAATGGAAATTGAATAGACTGTAAATGTCATAATAATGATTCAAGTTAAAAAATATTTGTATTAAAATTAAATCTATTTTAATGTCTTGCGGTATATCCTATTTTTTGGTATTTGAATTTATATCTTAAAACTTTCCTCGTAAAGATTCTTTATAGTTTCTCGAATTGTTTATTAAGATAATAATCAAGTTTAGGGCTAAAACTTTCAGTGGAATATTCCATAATTGGTCTTACGTATGTATGTTTTGAATGCCTTTACATATGTTTCTATAGGTAATGTTTTAGGTAATATTCTTAGGATATTATTTAGCTTTATAAATGAAGAGTTAGTAATTTTTCTACATGTTGATCAAATTTTAGTTTGTTATCTATGTATATACCAAGGTTTCTTATATAATTAACTTCTTCGATTTTTTCTCCGCTAATCTCATAATTGAACTTAGTTTTCTTTATATTTTTAAAACCTTAACTTTTGTAATACGAATTTTAGCTTATTGTTTTCTGCCAATTTAGAAGCTTTGTTTATAGCTTCTATAGTTTTATTCCGGATTCGGTAAAAATCATGTAAGATATAAATTGAAAAATTAACTTTTTCTTTCCCATTCGAGGAAGAAAGGAAGTATTGTATGCCGGCATTCGTTTCGGATAGTGTCAAAACCTTTATAATTTTAATTATCTTTTCATTAAAAATTTTTGAATCAACTTTTAATATCTAAACAAAAATAATTGCGATGCGGATTAGATATTGTTTCTAAATATTGAGAAACATTTGACTAAACACACAAACTTGGTTCCAAACAAAATATTTTTTAAATAAAAACATTTTTAAATAAACATTTTTAAATTAAAAATTTTTTCTGTTAAAGAGGGGGGAGAGAGATGATATAAATTTTTGATCGATTCAGTCAATTAGAAAGGGAGAAGGCAATGAAGACAATGGAAAATTTTTTAAATGCCTCTTAAATATTAAATGGCTAGGTGGAATGCTTAGTGGAATGGCATATAAAATTTTTTATTGTATTTTATTCTACACTCCACTACCATTCCTCAACAGGCAGCTATTGAAAAAAATTCCCTTGTAAAAGAAAATTTATTTTTAAAATTTTCTTCAATTTTTATTTTAAACAATTAAACAAAAATTTCAAAATCTTATTTATTATTGCGATATTAATTGTTGTTTTTATTGAAACGACGGAAGATTTAAGTGATATTGCGGATTAATCCTCCGTTAATAATCAATCCCAAGTCACTTAATATGTAAAATCTCACTGACATCTGAAACTCGTTATCCTTGTTAATGCTACTCAAATCATCTTATTATATAATGCTACTCAAATCATCTTATATCCCAGCTTATCCCTTATATCCCAGATTGCGGACTGTTGCTCCGGATTTTAACTGATTGAGTTTCAAATGTTAAATGGGACGGAAAATCCCAGTAATCCAGAGATGTGAAGCCAAATATGTCGCTAAATAAAAAGTTTAAAGAGGCGAAAGTTTAATGAATTGTAAAAGGTTAAGGCCAGATTTCTGACTTTCATCCAATGAATTTTCACAACTATGAAATAATTGGTTTTGTAAAGGTTGCGTAGCATTTTTTAATTCCAAACTTTATTATATTAAATACATCGGTATATTAAACTTTAATCCTTGAGAAAAATAGTATATACATATTTTCTGGCAATAAAATTATTAATTTTACTATAATTTAAAGAAACGAAAATTTAGCTTACGGACAGAAAATAAAATCGGCAACCTCTTGTTTTAAGATTAGCATAACAAAACAAGAGGTGTCTAAAATTTTATTATCCCCTATGTTTTATCATTATATTTCATTGCTAAATTTTTTAATCAGGTTCGATAATGTTTTTCTATCAACTTTAGATTTAAAAAAGTATTTTTTATTTTAAAATTAAAAAATGAAAATATTCCAATTTTTAAAATTACCTTTTTTATTTTGTTTATTTATAGATTTCCAAGGTAATTTTACAGAACTTTAAAAAATAAATATTTTTCCTGGATTTATTAAGGGTCACATTCTATGTTTCGGAAAATATTTGGAAAAAATAAATCAAAAAGTGAAGTTGTTCATAAAGCTTCACCTTCTAATTACGTACATCATGAATCATATGACGAATCGGAAGCTGCCTCCAATACAAGTTCAGAAGCTTCTATTTCGCATGGTGGTTCAAATGAATGTCCTTGTGGAAAATACTACCGTTATGAGTTTGAATCGGCATTGATTGCATACAATGGGACATCACAACTTAATTTAACAGTTAGAGGGGATAATTCTGTAGATTCAGGCACACACGGAACTGTAAATATTTTATAAAACATTGGGTTTTAGAGCAGCGAACATGAATAGTAAACATAGATTTCAGATCATAATTTTAGTAACATGCATATTTCATTATTTGAAGGTGTTTTCGCAAAAAAATTCGATTAGAAGTAGTGTTCATAGTAGTGTATATAACTACATTTAATATAAAAATTCTCTTAATAAAGATTTACCACGCAATATGGCACGAACAAAATATATGTGTTGTAGTCAAAGAAATTCTGATTAAACATAAATATAAAAATTATCAAGAAAACGCGGTGAACAATGAAATTAATGTACTGATCAACATGTCAGGAGAGCAATATGTTATTAATTATTATGGACAGTAAGTTAATATTATGAAAATTTCAATCAAAATTTCAACTAATAACGACGCATTAAACCCTTTTAGACTCTCCTAAAATTTTGCTATTTGATTCACTCATTGGTATACTAAACTGCAGAGTTTAGTAGATAAATACATTTAGAAACATACATCTTTATTGAACCAATTTTATCAAAAAATAAATTCAACAAAATTTTTTCAAAATTTGCCAAATTAACCAAAAGATTTCAGCCAAAATTTGTTGAAATTTAGGTCAAAATTGATCCTCTCTAATGGATATTAAGTTGATATCTTTTAAATTAAGATAAAACATAAATTTAAAGATAGAAATTGAGATAAATTTAATAATAAAAACTTTTACTTTAAAAATTAAAGAAATTTTGTGATGTTCGATGATGACGAATATTATGGAAAATATTCACTCGTTTTGGAGCTTGGCGGAGATAACCTGAAAAGTTACATTCAACAAAATATCGGGAACTATAATGATCAGGATGATAAACACAAGTTCATAACGCGAGTTGTTGGAGGTGCAGCTCATGCACTTAAACGATTCCATAAATGTTGGATTTTTTAAAATTAAACAAGTTTATTCCTTAAAAATTCTCAAAATGTTAAAAATTAATAACTTTAAATTTAGACTACGGTATTCATATGGACATAAAACCGCACAATTTTGTTATCTCGTTAGAAGATAATTCTGACAGTCGTATTATCGAATCAAAACTTATAGACTTTAGTACTTCTGTTTATATGGATATGCGTCAAGAAGAAGTAGAATTACAAGGAAAAATTTTAGGGACAGAAATGTATATTGCTCCAGAAATCAAAAATCATCATGAAAAAAGGGAGCCTTTCAATGTACGAAATTTTTCAATTTATTTCAGTAATTTTAAGTTACAGTCGGTTTAATTTGTGATACACGTTTGGGGCTGAAAATATTGAATCATAAATTTATGTAGAGTATTTGATAGGATAGTCTTTCTACTTGTCTTTCTACTTAGTCACTAACCTCATAATTAAAAAAAGTATCAAGAATTGAAGTATGTGCTACGAAAAATTTTCTGCACCTAATATAAAAATAATTTAAATAATTTTATAGGTAACTCGTAAAGTTGATGTTTATTCATTTGGAGTGATGATAAACTACTTGCTACAAAATTATCTTAAGAGATCTAAGAAAACATCTTTTTACAAAGCACGCTTGAATCATGTTATAGAGGCAAGAGATTTTTTTATAATGATGATTTCAGCGGTCTATTACTCTAAATATTCTCAAATTTCTTCTGACACTCCCGTTTTTTCTATCAACTTTTTGAGATACTTATGTCTTTAAGATACGAAAATATTTCAAAAATCTATAAATATTTATTTGCTCATATTCTATTATTCTAAAAATTTTTGTCAAATTAATTATTGAAAGTACATATTAGTAAAATTAAAATACAAAAATATACTTTAAATTATTTCAAAATAATTAAATTTAAAATTTTAGAACTGCATTCAAATTCAGCCCTATCAACGTCCAAGTATTTCCGCTGTCGCTAAATTTTTAAAAATGGAATGCGATTATTTTGCCAATGAGGAAGAACAGCTTCCGTATGAGTTTCTTTCACAAAATCCACAAAATTGTTGAAATGAAAGTTGAGAATTTGATTTTGAGAGATCGAGAGAGAGTGAATATACAACAAATTTATAGCCCTCAAAAATTATTTTGTGGGTTTAACTTTTCCCGTGTCCCCAATGTTTTCATTATATCCAAAACATTAAACAATTTTCTAATTTTTTTTAAAATTTTTACTAAAAGCAAACAATTTTTTACATTATTTTTTTATGTTAAAACCAGGGCTCGGATCTTAAATTTTTAAAAATCCGCAATTTTAAGCTAAAAAATTTTTTGGCGCCTTCAACACCATAAAATCCACTTTTTTACGCCGCAGGCGAAAATTTTGAGGATTTTGAATTTTGGGGAATTTTGAGAATCTAAAAAGTGAAACAACATCAAGAAAATCAAAAAATTCCGCAAAATCAAAAAGCGGAAAAATCCGCAAAGATCCGAGCCCTGGTTAAAACTAAAAAACAATTGTTCCCGAAAAATTTTAAAGTAACGTATTTTAAATTAAAAACGTTAAAACAAATTATAAATTAAAAAACTAAAAATCAGGGATACATAAATTTTACTGATCTAGGGGGTTTTATTAAATTTGTGGATGGGGGGGGGGGTATTAAAAATTGTTTTTTGGGCGTTTATTGTTTTATTGGGGGGGGGGGGGGTATTTTTATTTTTCTAAAATTATTTTTATATACTTGGGGTTTTTATGTGTTTTTATTAAATTTCAAAAGCAAATGTTTATCAGTATTTATTATATTTTCATTAACAGTATTTATTTAAAAATATTTAAATTTATTTTTTATAATTTATTATTTAAATTTACCGTAAATGGCCTAATAATTGCCCTCTCTCATATAATTAATCCTGATCTATTAATTACCCCGTCCAGCGAGAAGTCGAAACAATAATTAGCCAGGGTAATTATTAGAGCTTTTACGGTATTATACATTTACCATTCCTTTGTATAAAACTAATTATTTTTTATTTTTGGTATAAAATTTATTTAATTTTTGAATATATCAGAATGAATTTTTCATAGAGCCGATTTTACCTTTCATTTTTGGCCAATTTAAAAAGCATTTGGAAATCATAAATCTTTTCCAGCTTCCTTATAAAAATTTTAAATTCTATGAAAATATTTGGGTACTATGCGTACCTAAATAACGCCAACCCTGATGAGTAGGATCTGAACGATTAATAAAGTCAGGAGATTTTGTGGATATCAGTAGATTTGGAGGATATATGGGATATCGGGTATTCGGAGGTATAGTTCATGCAGAATTAAGGTGCATATTAGGGGATCTGGTGTGAGAAAAAGTAGAAACTAGAAGCAGAAACTAGAAGCTAATTTTCTTTTGAGTATTCGAAATAACAATATTTTTTTCATTATCGAACACAATAAATGTGAAACAATAAAATAAAAACTTTTGGATCCACAGGGATCACTTATGGAGATAACTTATATAAAAATTGAAATTGCTGCATTCGCTTAATCAAATAAACAATTTGCATTTCTTTTAAATGTTTATTTATAATTGATATGGGCGTCATAACCAGAATTTCAATGATTGTTATTTGCGAGCCTCAAAAATTACACAAGCTTGAGCTTTTCCCACTTTCGAGAAACAGATTTCTTTTATCAGGACGAACGCGGTTTAATGCCCATTTCTGGTCTTACATATCAATTTGTTGTTGTCTTAATTTGAAATATTATTTGCTGATTAGAAGGGATGCAGCAGAAATACAGGATGACAGCTTTAAAAAAAATGTTAATTTAAAAAGTCAGAAAGAAATATGAAAATAATTGGAGCAACTAAAAAAATAAATGGAAATTAAATAGACTGCAAATGTCATAAAAATATAAAATTAAAATTAAATCTATTTGAATGTTTTTTTGGTATTTGAATTTATACATTAAAACTCTCCTCGTAAAGCATCTTTATAGTTTCTCTAATTGTTTATTAAGATAATTAAGATTAGGGATAAAACTTTTAGTGGAATATTCCATAATTGGTTTACCTATGTTTTGAATGCCTTTACATATGTTTCTATTGGTAATGTTTTAGGTAATATTCTTAGGATATTCTTCAGCCTTATAAATGAGGACTTAGTAATTTTTGCTACATGTTGATCAAATTTTAGTTGTCCACTAATCTCATAGTTAAACTTAGTTTTCTGTGTATTTATAAAACCTTAACTTATGTCGTGTCGGGCAAACTCAAGGAACGGACAAGTCAAGGAACGACAAATCAAGGAATGGACAACTCAAGGAACGACAAGTCAAGGAAAAGACAAATCAAGGAATGACCATCTCAAGGAACATACCAACTCAAGGAATAGACAAATCAAGGAATGACCATCTCAAGGAACATACCAACTCAAGGAATAGACAAATCAAGGAATGACCATCTCAAGGAACATACCAACTCAAGGAATAGACAAATCAAGGAAAAGACAGGTCAAGGAACGACCAACTCAAGGAATGACCAACACAAGGAATATTTTAAAAATCAGAAAATTTTTAAAAATAAGAATTTTTCAGAATTTATTTTTAAATTCTGTTTTTTGAAGTATTCTAATTTGTTTTAAATTCTTATTTTTTAAAAATATCCAGATTTTTCAAAGAATTCCGATTTTTAAAATATTCCTTGAGCTGGCCGTTCCTTGACCTGTCTTTTCCTTGATGACCATCTCAAGGAACGACCATCTCAAGGAACATACCAACTCAAGGAATAGACAAATCAAGGAATGACCATCTCAAGGATCATTCCTTGACCTGTCTTTTCCTTGACCTGTCGTTCCTTGACTTGTCTTTTCCTTGACCTGTCGTTCCTTGACTTGTCTGTTCCTTGAGTTGGTATTCCTTGAGTTAGCCCCCACCCAACTTATGTAAAATCGAATTTTAGCCTATTGTTTTCTGCCTATTTAGAAGCATTGTTTATAGCTTCTATAGTTCTTTTCCGGATTCGGCAAAAATCATGCAAGATATAAATTGAAAAATTAACTTTTTCTTTCCCATTCGAGAAGAAAGGAAGTATTGTATGCCGGCATTCGTTCCCGATAGTGACAAAACCTTTATAATTTTAATTATTTTTTCAGTAAAATTTTTTTGAACTACATAACTTTTAATATCTAAACAAAAATAATTTCGATTCGGATTTGCATTGTTTCTAAATATTGAGGAACATTTGACTAAACACACAAACTTGTTTCCAAACAAAATATTTTTTAAATAAAAACATTTTTAAATAAACATTTTTAAAATTAAAAATTTTTTTGTTAAGGGGGAGAGAGAGGGGATATTTTTTGTAAATCGATTCTGTCAATTAGAGAGAGAGGAGGGAAGGCAATGAAGACAATGGAAAATTTTTTTAAATGCCTTTTAAAAATTGATTGGCTAGGATTTTTTGTCAATCAACGGGCAAGGGAAATGCCTAGTGAAATGCCATATATTGTATTTTTTTCTACACTCCACTACCACTCACTCAACAGGCAGCTATTGAAAAAAATTCCCCTGTAAAAGAAAATTTATTTTAAAAATTTTATTTGATTTTTATTTTAAACAATTAAACAAAGATGTCGAGATTCTTTTTTATTATTGCGATATTAATTGTTGTTTTGATTGAAATTGATGCGGTTCGTAAAAGGAAACGTAACGAAGTTGTCTCCAATGACAATAAGCCGCCTAAAAGGTCTAGGAAACAATCCAATCCACAACAGGCATGGACTGGCCATTTAGGTTTGCTAAAACTTAAAAATCCCTCCTATTTCGAAGTGACGAGTTTTTTTTTTAAATGTAAAAGAAGGGAGGAGTTGCTTGTTTACCCTGCAATTCCAACTAAAAAATTATTACAAATTTTAATTAAATTTTATAAAATTAAGGGAAAACAGGTCCAGGTTTAAGCATGTCAACAGCTAAAATTGTGAAGGTAAGCTATTAAATCTACATTCGGACCTCGTTTTTACATGCTGAAAGGAACTATAAAACTACTTTAAATTTCTTCACATAAGTTTTGGCACAGAAAATTTAAAACTTTTCTCTTATCATTAATAATAGTTATTTGACAAATTAAATTGTAAAAATTATAAACGGAATACGAAATTTAGTAAAAACAAGTGCCAAGAAACTATATACCTAACTACCTCCAGTTTTGACATTAGGGTTTCTTGACACTGGTTTAATAAATTCCGCTTAATCGCATTCTTTTCAAATTTTTAATAATTTATTACTTAACTTTATTTATTGTAAAAAAAAGTTTTGTATGCATATTTTCTGTGCCAAGAATTATGTAAAAACTCG